TATAAGGGTTAAAACCGACCAAATTTCACTTTGACTCTCTGGAAACACTATCTACTCAGTGTTGATTCTATTACCTCATTAGTTGTTGAATTTGCCGTGTAAGATTCATATATGTATATTCGAAGATTTTTTTTATGGAACCATTAATCGCCAACTTATTCACGATTAATTGAATTTTGAACAATTTGCTTACAAAAGCCATTTAAAATAGTATGCCGATCAAATTTGATTAGGTAGTAATTACTTTTAGTTGATCTTTTTCACGAACTCATTAGATACGTCTGTATATAATTATCCCAGTATATGTATGTATGTACATAATTTAATGTATTTATATATATATATATATGTGTGTAGTATGAAAACGCTTGAGCAATGACGTTTATATTGCTTACTCACAACATTTAAGAAGCAGCTGAAACTCTCAGTGCTCACTCACCGCTCAAGATGCTAAACGGCCCCAATATTAGTTACGAAACTAGCTTAGAACTAGTCGCTTTTGATTTGTAGTTAGTAAATTAAAAAGTTCCCAGTACATTTTGCTACAAGTGCTATCGTCAACTTTTAGCTTAATAAGTTGCCATGTAAATTTGTAGTAGCTTTGGCGCTTATGAAATTCTGCTTTCAAACAAACCGAAAGGTGTCATGATTTTCTTATCATAACAAATACCACGCAAAACCTTCTATAGAAAACTAAAATATGCATTACAAAGTTATTATTTATATAAATACATATATAACTATGAAAACTTGTTTATTTTTTTTTTTTAGTTTCTTAGTAACAAAACCTACCAGTATTGAAAAAATGCCTGACGGTAAAAAATATTTCTCAGTAAATCGTTTTCAAATTACGCAGGAAAATACAAATTACGGTTTCAAGCAGAGACCCAGAATAATAATTATTTCATGGTGGAGTTTTAAAAAAGTCATCCAAATTTTCGTAAGATTTTTAAAAGTCTTTTGATAATAATTATGTGTGAGACATTTTTTTTAAGGCATCGATAACTATTATTTTAAGGTTTATATATTTAATAGAATTCTTTTCATAATAATTATCAGCGAGATAAATATTTTTAAGTCTTCAATGACTTTTATTTTGAGAATTATATTATAAAGAAGACTTAAAAATATTTATCTCTCTGATAATTATTATGAAAGTACTTTTATAATATAAGTCCTTGAATAATAATTACAGATGACTCGAAAAACATTTATCTTAATATATTGATTATTGATTGACTTTTTCTTTCTCTTTTTGATTCTTTTCTCTTATAATAGTTTTGTCTCTGGTTTCAAGTGTTTCTGTTGGCTTTTTTCTTATTCTACGTACAACTTACCTGTATTCTTGTTGTACTTCTTTTTGTTACAATTTTCTACTTCCGTATTTGTTTAGATTAGGGTAAAGTGCTAAAGTTTGTCAAACTGAAATTCCGCGGAATTAGACAAAGTTCCAATATTAGCAGCACTGTGCTAGCACACAAGCCAAACACATTTATCGAAAGCTTTGTATAAGCAAATAACAATGACTAGAAAGCTTTTATAAATAGGTAAGTATACAAAAATTCATTTATTCGCAGCATATTTTTCGGCTGAGAAATCGAACTCAATTATAAATACAATGCGCATACGTAAGTGTACGTTAGGGTGGTCCAAAATACGCAAACAATTTTGCTTTTTGAATTTGCTTGCCATCATCCCCCAGGACAGCATCACCATTTTATTGCTTAAAGATTTCGGCAGGGTAATATTTTTATTCGATCAAAAAATATTTAATTTTAGCGATTTTACAGCAACCATACGAAAAAATGTATCTTCCCCATATGAAACATATCGAAAACTTCAACGCCCCTGCGCACAATGAGCGAAAAATTTTATATTTGCGATGGTCACATTTACTATTACTTACGGTAACCATCCTGTCCGGTTTTATGTTATTTTGGCGGTTAGGGCTCGATATCTGTGAAGTTTCAAGAGTTTGCCNTATACAAAAATTCATTTATTCGCAGCATATTTTTCGGCTGAGAAATCGAATTCAATTATAAATACATTGCGCATACGTAAGTGTACGTTAGGGTGGTCCAAAATATGCAAAAAATTTTGCTTTTTCAATTTGCTTGCCGTCATCCCCCAGGACAGCATCACCATTTGATTGTTTAAAGATTTCTGAAGGTATTATTATTATATATTTATATATATATATATATTATATATTATTATATTTTTATTCGATCAAAAAATATTTAATTTTAGCGATTTTACAGCAACCATACGAAAAAATGTATCTTCCCTATATGAAACATATCGAAAACTTCAACGCCCCTGCGCACAATGAGCGGAAAATTTTATATTTGCGATGGTCACATTTACTATTACTTACGGTAACCATCCTGTCCTGTTTTATGTTATTTTGGCGGTTAGGGCTCGATATCTGTACCTTATCAAGAGTTTACCTCGAAATTAAAAAAATGGCAGCTTGCAGAATATCTTTCGCAGCTATTTATTTTGTAATTTTTGAAATTTTACTATTTTTCCAATTTTAATAATGTTAACATTAAATGCTGAAAATGTTTTCTTGCCAAAGCGAACAAATCTAGTGTGTCACCAAGTGAAAAAAAATACATTGAGTAAAAAACAATGATTCGAGAGACTAAAATTCCATTTTTTTAATTTTTATTGGCAAACTCGAAATTCATTCTACAATTGTTATATATGTAAGTGAAGAAAATAAGTAATATATATGTGCATAAGGAATACTGTGTAAAAATATCCCTCGCCAATATTCAATTACTTTTAAATAATATGATTTTTAGGTTAAGGCGTGCGAGTAAATGTGTTACATACGCAGCTACGGCGGCGGCATTGCAAAGCCCTGCCTAAATGAGGTACATATGTACATGCATAGTCTATGAATCCTTGTCGTCAAGCCTCTCAGTCTGAGGCGGCGTGGGCGTTAAACATGGCGCCAGAATAGAGTGTCTCTTCGACAGTCATATATGTACGTGTTGCCATTCAGCAAATATCTCCATCTCTTAAGAACTTAAGTTAAGTAAGTTACTTAACAAAGCACATTAAAAAAAATTGTATGCTATGTATGCGAACTCTGTAGTCCTAAAATTTAGTAATAGAAGTATGCCTTCTTCCCTTAGTTCAGAGCTGCGCTACAAATTCCTTAAGGTAGCTTGAAGATTTAGAGATACATATAACAGTTCAATAGTACAAGGCCACCAGTTATGTGCATATTTATAGCGTTGAGCTCTAGTCTGTTACGTGGGGAGGCCTTAAAGGCCACCTGCAGGCTTAAACAAATTGATATTGGTATGAGGTGGAGTGTATTTTCAGTTCTCTGGGATATAAAGCAACAATTACCTTTGCTGAGAAGAGTATGCAAGGTTGAGTTCCCTAACGCTTAATGCTGGTTTAATTCCAATACTGAGCCCGTGCTCACACACGGATGGCTCCAAAACTGACACCGGGTCAGGATTTGGTGTCTATGTCGAAGACATTGGCGATTACCTTTCGCTTTTCTCTTGAGTAATATGCATCGGTGTTCCAAGCCGATGTATTTCCAAACCCTTAAGGCCATTAACTACGTGGTAGAAAACAGGTGGAGATGCAGGAGTTTACGCATCTTAAGGAACAGCCAAGGTTCACTCAAGGCATAAACAAGCCAACGCAAGTGTAGACTAAATTATGTTTGGAAACACAACGGACTTGTCTTACTCTGGGTCCCAAGTCACTCGAGAGTACCTGGTAATAAGGTATCTAACTATTTAGGCAGAGAAGGCTCAGACCAGGTATTCGTAGGACCGCAACATATTATAGCACTATCACCTTCTGCAATCGAAACCACCATCCGAAACTTGGTGAATGTGTCGTGCAGAAATTACTGGGAAGTTTTGAAAGAAGAACTGCAGACAGCTTGTGGGACTGTTGACTGGACTACTTACATGGCACAAACACCTGACTACATATAATCGGCATACATGACAATCCCATTTTCCCTTCCTGCTTTGAAGAGGTTTCGCCGGTGGAACACTTTTTGTGTTTTTCTGTGCCGCCTTTGCAAGGATTAGGTTTGTGATTTTTGGCACCCATTTGTTAAAAGACGAAAAACTGAGCTCTTTGGCACCCATCAATCTGCTTTCATTTATTTATAAATTAAGTAGATTTAAAAAAAAAAAAATGTTTAAAAAGAACGTTAAAACAGTTTCTGTTTTCTACGCGCGTTCTTTAGTGTATTCAGCTCCGACAAAAAAACAAAAAAGTACAAAAAAAAAATATTCAGCACGACGTACTAAGCCTTTTGCTTGAATAAGTTCCGAGTGCCATCTCCAGAAAAAACCCTTTAGCTAGATCCATATGCTACAATAATTCCCCCTAATCGTAAGTTAATCCGAAGGAAGGATTCTCTAACATATGCTACAGAAATAGGTGTCTAGTTCGAGATTAGACTCGACGCACCTCGAGATCCACCCAGTTCTTGGAAAGGGCCTTACAAATGAGCTTGGCCAGCTTATTGGTATGATTAATTTTAGCAATTATAAGGGAATTGCTCACCGTTGGTTCAAAGATTTCCTGGTTTTCCACAGAAAAAAACGAATTTTAGTTTTGTTTTTTATATTTAAATACATTTTGTTTTTTATTAAATCGAAGAAAATTGTATTCCCTCAAATCTAAATAAACAATTTTACATTTTTCATGTATTATAATAGTAAAAATTAAAAAAAAACTAGTAACTAAAAATAAAAAAATTTCAAAAGTGGAACAAAGTAGAATAAAGGAAACAAATACGTCGAATAATAATTAGCCAAGCATACAAAACAACATTTCACATTACAGCAATTGGCTTGGTATAAAAAAATAAATCGGCTCAAAAACTGTACTTAAAACTGATCTAAGCATTGCCGATAGCCGGCGAATACCTACAAACGAAAATACAATTGAATGTCTTTATAGTTTTGCTTGAAGCGCTCAATGCTAAAAAAAATAGTGTGAAGTAGGCTAAAAATGTAGCTTATTAATATAAGGATATATCAATGAACTAGAGGAACATGCCTCATACATTCCTAACTGGCTTCATTTTACAATATATATATAAATACACAGATAGTAGAAGAGCGTTACATATAAAAAGCATTATTTTAGCAAACGAAAAAAAAAAACAATTCAACAATTTTTTTTTTTAACATTTTCATAAAATGAGTACACACTTTTAATTAACGGTTCGAGAGAGGAAGGAAATGTTATACTATAATTTACATAGTTAAAATAGTATATTATATGCTAAGAGTATTTTTTGCGACTTTATTTCTTCATTGAAATTTCTCTCTTTCTCTCTTACGGTCCTCTTTAAACATGTTTCCGTTGTCTCTTACAATAGTGCATAAAATTTAATTTTTTTCTTTTTTTTTTTAAACATCGTAAAGACATGAACACAAAAGCGGCAACTGGATATCGGGAGCAGGATTGGAATTAGGAACAGGATATACTCGGTATGTCGGCGTTAGGATAAGGATTCCGGATGTTTGAGGATTGACGAGCGATTGCGGTAAGGATGTGGAAACCATTTGTGTTGGACAGGATTGCGGTAAGGATGCGGGAGTTATCACTGCACTAGGATGCTGGTAAGGAAGTGAAACAGCTGCCAAATACGCTTGCACGAACGGTAGCAGGAACACGTACACAACTATCGAAATGCTTTCAACAGCATTTGTATTGACGGTTGAGCAAAAAGAAACAAGCGTGTTTCGGGTGTACAGGATGGGACGGGACGGGAACAGGAACAGGAACAGGAACGAGAACAGGAACGGGAACAGGAACGGGAACGGGAACGGAACGGTGGCTGTCGTGTTGTTGACGTTGTTTTTTTTATGTATATAAAATTTATAACGGACGACGTTGATTTCATTCATGTATATCCTCAGATATCTTGTTAATGTCATCCTTGATTTGAATAAAATTTCTTGCATGATTTAAATGGAGATGACAATTTTTTTTATTCGTATCGTCGTCGTTCTGTTCGTTATGTTAACGTCACTGTGTCGTTTTAGTCTTTCTTTTCCACTTCGACCACTGTTTCGGTTGGCGTTTCGATCTTTTCACTCTTCTCGATTTTAACTTCGTCCTGCGCCGCCGATTCGCCAACCTTGGCTGCTGTCGACGTCACCGGCGTCGCTGCCGCCTCAACAAGGTCACTTTTATTGTTATCTCCTTTTACCGCTGTTTCCGTCTCTTTTTCTGCGCTCTTACTCACTTCCTTTTCATCGTCCTTCTCTACCGCCTTTAGCGCTTCGACATCTAATGCTTCCGTCGCTTTCGCCACAAGCGTCTCCTTTTCACTATCATCGCTCGATTTCGCACTAGCAGCAATCTCTTTCTCACCCACGTCCGTTGCCGTTGCATTCAGTCCTTCCGTTGCGTCAATGTCACGTTTCTTATGGAACTTATCTGGTATGTTCTGTGTACAGGAGCATGGGCACATGCACTGATCTTTGCGTGCGCCACCCGTAATCTGACTGAAGCTGAACGGTATGGGCGCGGGCTGCACACCCAATGGGAAGGGATCGACATTTTGTTGTTGATATCTGTCATTCGCGTGTATGGCATTGTTGTTGTCGCATTGCTCATAAGCCGATTGTGGCAAAATAATTACCGGCATGAATGCTATAATTGCACCTTTGGGTATATTTTCCGGTGCATAGGATGCCGCATAACCGGGCGCTTGTGGAAAGACTGGTAATTGTTGTAACAGTGACATTGCGTTGGTTATACCACCAAAGCTGGCTTGACCGCCTGCAATTGTTGTGGTTTGGAATTGTTGTTGCTTACTAAATTGATTACTATTCGACGCCGGTTTACCAAAGGAAGTGGTTGTGGTTTGTTGTTGTTTGGATGAATGTATTCTATCTGCTTCGCAGGCACATTGTCGTTCGTTATTCAGTTCTGTTGGTGGAAAAGTGGGGCGTGGCGTTTGGTAGTTGGTATTCGTATTGGTCACAACATTTCGCTCCGGTTGTCGATTGGTCTCGTATTTGGTGGTCACTTTCTCAACAACTTTCTGACCGGTCTGATAACCGGGCACGCGGCCGTCGTTTATTGTAGTAGTGATTTTTTCGACTACTTTATCGTTAACTTTCTGTCCATTATAGAAACCGGGAATTTGTCCAAATGTATTTGTACCAGTCGTTGTGGTAGTTATTTTCTGACCAATTTGGTATCCCGGAGTTTGGGTGACGCTACCGGAGCCACCGCCTCCAATGTTGCTGTTGAACTTCTGTCCCGTGTTTGTGTATGTATTCTTATTGGTATCAAAAGTGCTTGTTGTTGTTGTTACCTTTTCCACCGTCTTTTGGTTTTGTTGCTGGTACGCGTTCGTGTCAAAGTTTTGTCCGTATTTATTGCCGTTGTTTGTATTTGTATTTGTCGTAGTTGTTGTAGTTATAGTCTTGTGCGGTTGTTGCTTCTCAACCGAGCTTTGCTGTCGGTTGAAAGTATCCGTTAAAGGTCCGCGATTCGGTGGTAAGTATTTATTGGTTTGTTGATAAGATGTTGGCGGATTATTCGTATTCGTATTGGTATTCGTGTTGGTCGTAGTAGTGGTGGTGGTGGTGGTGGTGAGTTTTTTGGGAGGAGAGGGGGGAGAAGAAGGAGGAATATAGGTTAATGGAGTTTTAACATTATTGCTATTATTATTAAATTGTGTATTAGTATTAGTATTGGTGCTAGTAGTGGTTGTGGTGACCTTCTTTTGTGCATAATCATTATTGTTACCATAATTTGGCACAAAAGATGTAGTGGTGGTTTGTGTGGTTTTCGTGGGTATCTCACCACCTTCTACAACTAATGATGATGATTTAAATGGTTGCGTTATTTTACCAGTTTTCGAGACAGGTGGCAAGTAGCCGGGTGTATTCTTATTCGAATCCCTAGGATCACTTGGTGCGCCAGGTCTCAATGGTTGGTATGGTGATTGTGGTCCGGGTGAGCCTGGACGATCGGGTCCTGGTGGTCCTGGTGGTCCTGGTGGGCCGGGACGTGTTGGGCCGTATGGTCCTACTACGCCTGGGCGAGATGGGCCTGGTGGTCCAGGTGGACCGCCTGGACCGGGACGTGTGGGTCCGGGTGGACCGCCTGGACCGCCTGGACCGGGACGTGTGGGTCCGGGTGGGCCTGGTGGTCCGAATGGGCCGCCTGGGCCGGGACGAGTTGGTCCGGGTGGACCGGGTGGACCGGGTGGGCCGAATGGTCCCTTAGATCCGGGTCCAGTGGGGCCGAATGGTCCTAATTTTATAGAAAATAAAAAAAAGGAAATTAGTAAAAATAATTTAGTTAAACTAAGAACATAAATGCTTGAATCGTTTTTGCATTCGATTCACTTTAACCACCTGGTGGTCCTGGTGGACCAGGTGGGCCGGGTGGTCCCTTTGGGCCGCCAGGTCCCTTCGGACCGCCGGGTCCCTTAGGTCCGCCTGGGCCGCCTGGTCCGACACCGCCGCCATCGCCTCTGCCGCCAACGCCGCCAAAGCCGCCGTTACCGCCGAAGCCGCCATCAGGTCCCTCTATATGCACATATGGTGGAGCTGGTGGACCAGTTGGACCTTCAATGTGAACATATTTTCCCGAATTGTCCGGGACATATTGACCTTCTTTAATACCTATAGCGAGCGCAGAAGAGATTGCGTCGAGGAGAGAGAGAGGGAGAGACGGGTGGCGAATTAGGAAAATTTCATGAGAGCGTAAAGAAAAGTTAACTCACCTTTATAACGACCATCAAAACCTTCATAATTACCCTTTTCTGTAGAAAGGAATAGAGAAATTTTGTGGAAAAAAGATAAAATATTAGTGATGTGCACAAATCGTTGTGAATAAGAGGTGTAAATATTGCTGAGAGCACTACGACAAAGTAATACTACTATATAGGCATGTAACGTACTAGTATACGATTTAGAAAAGACAAAGCTACAACTAAAGCTACGAAGTTCGTTTGGAGTACGACAAATCATACTTCTACTTATTACCTACCTAAATAAACTAATTGCATTATTGTTTATAAATAACTCAATTTAAATTTGGTTTTTTTAATTTTTTACTATTTCTTACTTTTATTTTATTTTATTTTTTTCTATTCTACTTTATTAGTGTTAGCAACTACAAGCTGTAAGCGCCTGCTACCGTTAAAGCTCAAAAAAAGTTTAAATATCCATTTAAATGATGTTTTTAGTGAAACGTGTATGTATGTGTGTGTGTGTGTGTGTGTTTTCTTTTTTTTTCAAATTTAACTTGGTTAGTCAACGCTACTATACGCTTACAGAGATACAGACATTAAATGAAAAGCTTAAAAATAATTAATAATAAATCAGCACACACAGTACTTCATATGTGTTCGTATGTATGTATTTATGTATGTAAAACAAGTTCATCATGTCCCGTTATCTCGTTGCAGCAGTATGGACATGCAAAATGGTCTGCTCAGACTATAAGTTTGAAGCGGTTTAAATAAGTATTTATAGGGATTAATTTAGGCAAAAGGATGAAAGCCATTTACCGTTAACAAGCAGGCGTTGGTGAGTGTGTGTGTATTAAAATAGTAGACTCATAGGTATGCATGTATGTATGTAGTATGTGCTTGTATGTATGAGCATTTGATGCATGTATTTGTGCTTTTTGTAAATGAAAAGTGCAATTTTTTATTTCATGTGAAAAACTATCCGAAAATTTTTGATTCATTTGATGCATGTGTATGTGCGTTTGAGTGTGTGGTACCGAAATTGAGATATTGTGGCATTCCTCTCGGC